TCTATCATCTATCTATCTATCTATCTATCCATCGAGTCCATCCATCCATCCATCCATCCATCCATTAGCCATCTATCTATCTATCTATCTATCTATCTATCTATCTATCTATCTATCTATCTGTCTATCTATCTATCTATCTATCATCTATCTATCTATCTATCTATCTATCTATCTATCTATCTATCTATCTATCTATCTATCTATCTATCTATCTATCTATCTATCTATCTATCTATCCATCCATCCATCCATCCATCCATCCATCCGTCCATCCATCCATCCATCCATCCATCCATCCATCCATGCATCCATCCGTCCGTCCATCCATCTATCTATCTATCTATCTATCCATCTATCTATCTATCTATCTATCCATCCATCCATCCATCCATCCATCCATCCATTATCCATCTATCTATCTATCTATCTATCTATCTATCTATCTATCTATCCATCCATCCATCTATCTATCTATCTATCTATCTATCTATCATCTATCTATCTATCTATCTATCTATCTATCTATCTATCTATCTATCTATCTATCTATCTATCTATCTATCTATCTATCTCTCCATCTGTCTATCTGTCATGTATTTGTTTAACTGATCATGCATGCGTCTATCTTTTAATCAGTGTATCCATCTGTTGTTCAGTTTGTGGTTCTCTCCTCTATTCTCTGTGCTGTGGTTTTGTCATCTCACAGAGATCTCAGTAGCATATCAAACAGTCAGGAAGCATCTGCCCAAGGCGACACACACACACACACAGACACACAGAGCGTCTGCGGTTTTCACTCACTGATCAGTTTCTGCTATCTGCGTACGGGCCAGCTCTCTGATATCGTTTGTGTTTGGAGGTCAAAGCAGCACAGAATGAGAAATGTGATTCAGGCATCTGCTTTTATTAGCTGTTTTTTTAGATTCATTCAGTCGGAGAGCTGCTTTTTCATCACGCAGTGTTGTTTTATGCAGGGATGTTTGTGAGAGATTCTGGACTGTTTGTGTAAATATGCATATTTGACTTAAATATTCATGTCGTAGTGTTTACTAAGTCAGTCCTCATAAACTAGTAGTGAACCAAGGAAGTGCGCACTGTAAAATATTCTAATTATCTGGGTGATATGACAAAAGTCTCATATCATAATAATGTATAAGTAATATCATATCCTGATAATTATATATATCACGCTATAGTATCATTGCTGTCAATTAAATCAAATTATAGTGATATATTGACCACATGTAAAGGACATTTTCATTGTTTTAAAGTATATATTCAGAAATTTACTCATTTATATGGGATTCTTGTTCCTCATTTTATTTAGTACTTAAATTTTAATAACATATAAAAACTCTTATAATAGAAAGTTAGAAATATAACATAAATGACATTTAAACATTTATTAAAATGTATTTTTTAAAGTACATATTACTAAAATAGAAATCGGGTGACTACAGGTGCGACTAAATAAATTCATTCATTCATTTTCCTTCGGCCTAGTCTCTTATTTATCAGGGATTGCCACAGTAGAATGAACCACCAACTATTCCAGCATATGTTTTACACAGCGGATGCCCTTCCAGCTGCAACCCAGTACTGGAAAACACCCATACACACTCTTTCTGTCTCATACACTACGGCCAATTTAGTGAATCAGTTCCCCTATAGCCCACGCCAACACGGGGAGAACATGCAAACTCCACACTGAAACGCCAACTGACCCAGCCGAGGCTCCAACCAGCATCCTTCTTGCTGTGAGGCTACAGTGCTCACCATCGAGCCACAGTGCCGCCCTACATAAACTCAAAATGTAATAAATATTGTAAATAATGTTAATATGTAATATTGCGCTCATATTAATTATGAAAAGATATTTTTGTAAACAATGTATTTAAAGAGCTTACACTTGGCTGATGATTGATTCTAAAGCCCATAAGATCCTCAAGCCCGGGGCTCCCTCCTGTTGCAAGGCGAGAGGGGAGTTTGAGCTCAGGTAGATCTCGAGAGCTCCCCTGTCATGGTGGCTGAAGAGCAGATAGTAGTTGCTCTTATAGAGATAAGTACCAGGTAGGGGCAAGACTATGGTGTTGATTTGGATTAGTCAATAAACTTAGGTTGCATGTTTTTAATCGGTGGGAGGAAACCCGGGGGAAACCCATGTGTGCACTGGGAGAACTTACAAACTCCTCACAGAAACGTCTGCTGGTTTGGTAAAGCCTGGAACCCGAGACGTTCTTGCTGTGAGGCAACAGAGCTAAGCACTTTGCTACCGTGTCACCCATCTAGGAAGGATATGGAGTAGGGGTGGAAGGGGGGTTTCTTCAAAATGACGATAGCGGTGGTACAGAACCCAGGGTATTTGTAGTTTCTTAAGAGTCGTCTAATTGGTGCATTCAGAATTGGATAATGTGGATCCAGCCGCTAGCAATCATAAGCACATGATCCTCTCGAAATGAGTTTATAAATAAACTTCACTTTGTGACACCACAACATTAAACTATAACATTTGCAGCATAATATGAAACTATAGGATTTGCAGAATTGTGCATACCATATTCATTGTCATATACTTCAGCCCTGCAGGAATTTTTTCACCAATTTCTGTTTAACAGAGAGCAGATTTTTTTTTCAACTCATTTCTAATCATAATAGTGTTAATAACTCATCTCTAACAACTTTTTTTTTTTTATCTTTGTCATGATGACAGTAAATAATATTAGACTAGATATTCTTCAAGACACCAGTTTTCAGCTTAAATTGACATTTAAAGACTTCACTAGGGTAATTAGGGTAACTAGGCAGGTTAGGGTAATTAGGCAAGATATTGGATAACGATGGTTTGTTCTGTTGACAATCAGAAAACAATATAGCTTACAGGGCTAATAATTTTGTCGCAAAAAATGGCTTTTAAAAAATAAAAAAACTGCTTTAATTCTAGCCGAAATAAAATAAATAAGACTTTCTCCAGAAGAAAAAATATTATCAGACATACTGTGAAAATTTCCTTGCACTGTTAAACATCTTTTAGAAAATATTTTTAAAAAGAAAAAAAATTAAGGGGCATTAATTCTGACTTCAACTGTATTCACCTTATTCTCAGCTGTCGAGTGGGCGCTGCCATTTGAATCTTTTTGTCTCGCGACTTCCGGTCACATTCACTTCCATTCATTTTTTGACGTTAACAACTGCTCGTTACGCTGCTTGATGTTGCAATTTAATATTTTCTTATTATATTATGCTACTTGGTCTGTGTAGTCATGCAAACATTTGTTTGTTGAGCAAGTAGTTTGGCCATTTTCTGCCGTTTATTATTCCTAGTCATTTCTCCCATAGGCGACTGAATCGGAAGTTCTAAGACAATCGCGAAAACAGGCGCACTTCCACATTTTAGAATAAGATCAATATAAAAAGCCCTCTTTTTTTTTTTTTTTTTTTTTTAGCTTTCTATGCAGTTTGAGCTAAAAAAAAAACTAAAAAAAAACTTGTTTTTAGCGACACAAGTGGCCATTCAGTGAACTACAGCGTGAGCTTATTGCTTGTGCTCAAACTCTGATCATTCAATTTAATTTTCTGGTAAATTTCTGTAATTTAACAGCCGTTATTTTACCGTATCTTCCAGCACCCCAGCTGCCAGAAATAATGCATACAATTACAGATTTTTTTTACAGTGTAGAGTGAACATGTGCTGCACTTTTATCCTCTCAACAACAAAATAAAGGCAAAAGAAATTGAACAGCAGATCAGAAAGCATCTGATAATAGTGATATTAGTGTGTTTGCACAATTCCCCCGCCTCACAGCACTGACAGGCGGCCCAGTCAGTCCTCTACAGCAGCCTCTCCCACCTGCAGCCCGAGAGCAGATCACCCCTCTGCGTACCGACGACAAATGATTTAGCACAGGCAGTGTGAAGGTATTTCCCTTGTACAGTCAAACCGATCTACTTCTACTTTATTTTAACAATTTAATTGGACCGTTTATTCTTTTCTTGTTCACAATCACAGATATTTTAGTGACAGTTTCTGAACTTGTCTGAATTTTTTTATTATATATGAGAGATTACTGCACATTTACTACACATCTATAATGATATACTGTATTCAAACAGCAATAAATTTAGTTAAATAAACATGCTTATATAAAGTGTAGTGCAATTATAAATACCCTTTTATTAACCATATGCTGTTAAACAAACAGAAACGGTAGAACGTAATGACGTCAGTGATATGCATATTGACGTATGACGTACCCCCCCCCCTTCATCATGGGGCCCGATCAGCGATCCTTGCAGGGGGGCCTCTGCATTTTGCGCAACGCCACTGGTCCATACGAAAGACACAGACCAAACCGAGACAGACTAAATCCAAAAGATCTCTGGTCTCTGAGACACCAAATCAATACTTGACTCCTGGAACTCCTTGAAAATCTGACTATTTTTGCAATTCTTAGAAATATTTTTGTGTGGAAGTGTTATTTTCTACTCTAACACTGCTCCAAAACATAGATATAACTGAGTTCAATCTATTTTTAGCTGTTGAAAATACTGGTGTTGTAATAATGTTGGTACAACTATACTCTTGCAAGCATCTACAGCACACCCATAAGCCTCTAGCAATACTAAACTCCACTCATGTTCTCATGTTCCCTATGTTTAAAGGGTTTTTTTATGTGCACACATGTTTCCGTCATGCTCTATAGGTGCAATCTAAAAATGAGCGGGTGCGTGAGCTCTGACTGCCTGTGTAAAAGTGAATGTGAGGCATTAGTGTGAAGGAAGCGAAGGCTGCGGGTCATCTGAAGCCTACAATAACAGCCGCTGTCAGAGAAAACACACACAGGCCACTGCAGGACTGTCAGCCGCTGCACTCCAGACTCGAGGCATCAAGCGGAGGGTGGACACATATTGATTTTTCAGGGAAAGCGAAGAACACTGATCATTAAAGTGGGCGTTAGGGGACGGGCTCCGTCTAATCCCCTTATATTCAAAGTTCTCTATCTCACCACGGGCACAGATAGTGTGACCATGCACATCACAGTGGAGGAGTGCTTTTACTCTCAGTCAAATGACTGGTTTTCATACATGATCAATGTTTTATTTGATGCTAATTCTTATACGCTACCTGACAAAAGTCTTGTGGTGGATGCTAGTTGTAAGAGCAGCACATAATAACTTGACTGTCAGAAGGTGGATTTTTCTGATGGATCATCTGCTGATCTGCATCCCAATCATCACCAATACTGCAGAAGACCTACTGGAACCAGCATGGAGCCAAGATTCTTGCAGGAATCAGTCAAGTTTGGTGAAGGAAAAATGATGGTTTGGGGTCATTCAGTATGGGGGCGTGCGAGAGATCTGCAGCAGCATCAACAGCCTGAGGTATCAAGACATCTGTGCTGCCCATTACATTACAAACACACAGGAGAGGGACAATTCTCCAGCAGGATAGCGCTCCTGCTCATACTTCAGCCTCCACATCAAAGCTCCTAAGGGCAAACAAGGTCAAGCTGCTCCGGGATTGGCCAGCCCAGTCACCAGACATAAACATTATTGAGCATGTCTGGGGTAAGATGAAGGAGGAGGTGTTGAAGATGAACACAAAGACACTTGATGAGCTCTGGGATCCTGCTGAAGGCTTTCTTCTTCATTCCAGATGACTTTATTAATCAGTGATGTGAGTCATGTCAGAGATGTATGGATGCAGTCCTCCAAGCTCATGATGGAGTCAGACACAATATTCATTCTGTCTCCACTGCAGCAGGACTTTATATTCTATACTGGACATTATTTCTGTTCAGTGATGAGACTTTAGTCTGAGCAGAGTCAGACCACACTGTCCTCATCAAATCAGTCAACATCAAGACATGATCAGATTTATTGAGCTCAAATAAGCAGAATCTAGAGGCCTTTACCTTTCATATACGACAGTTCTGACACCAAAAGATCAACAAGAAGTCCAGTTAGTATTTGTGTTCCTAAAACTTGGATAGGCCACAAGAAGTTAGTCAGGTGTACATGCTGTATATATATGCACACACCTTAGAAACCACTCAGAACATCTTCACAACTGTATAGCTATGCCCTTGCAAACCCTTAAAACCCAATAGCAACACCCTAGCAACTGCTTAAAAGACTTTAGCATAGAGACGTCTCCATCGCAACACCAAATGATTGTGTGGCAAAAAAAACCTTGAGTATACTTTATTACATACTAGTGTAACGTCCATAACAGTGTAGTTGTTTTGAGGATATCTATCAACAAGATGCTAGTGAATTGTGCAAACACACTGATATCACTATTATCAGATGCTTTCTGATCTGCTGTTCAATTTCTTTTGCCTTTATTTTGTTGTTGAGAGGATAAAAGTGCAGCACATGTTCACTCTACACTGTAAAAAAAAAATCTGTAATAGTTCGCGTTATTTCTGGCAGCTGGGGTGCTGGAAGATACCGTAAAATAACGGCTGTTAAATCACAGAAATTTACCAGAAAATTAAATTGAATGATCAGAGTTTGAGCACAAGCAATAAGCTCACGCTGTAGTTCACTGAATGGCCACTTGTGTCGCTAAAAACAAGTTGTTTTTTTTAGCTTAAACTGCATAGAAAGCTAAAAAAAAAAGGCTTTTTATATACAGTTGAAGTCAGAATTAATAGCCCCTTAATTTTTTTCTTTTTTAAATATTTTCTAAATGATGTTTAACAGAGCAAGGAAATTTTCAGAGTATGTCTGATAATATTTCTTCTTCTCGAGAAAGTCTTATTTGTATTATTTCGACTAGAATAAAAGCAGTTTTGAATTTTTTAAACGGCATTTTAGGAACAAAATTAATAGCCCTGTAAGCTATTTTTTTTTCTGATTGTCAACAGAACAAACCATCGTTATACAATAACTTTCCTGATTACCCTAACCTGCCTAGTTACCCTAATTAAGCTAGTTAAACCTTTAAATGTCACTTTACGCTGTATAGAAGTGTGTTGAAGAATATCTAGTCTAATATTATGTGCTGTCATCATGACAAAGAGAAAATAAATCAGTTATTAGAGATTAGTTATTAACACTATTATGATTAGAAATATGTAAAGAAATCTGCTCTCTGTTAAACAGAAGTTGGGAAACAAATAAACAGGGGGCGAATAATTCTGACTTCAACTGTATGTATTTGGGTGTCAATTTTGCTAATGTGGATTTGTTTGTTTTTGTCGTCTCAGAGTAAGGATGGGCGTGTGGAAGTGCGTGGACGCCATGGAAAGTCCATGTTGACCATCAGCGGGGTTCAGCTCTCAGACTGGGGCCGATTCGACTGTGAAGCTCTCAGCAGGATTGGAGGCCATCAGAAGAGCATGTTCTTGGACATCGAGTGTAAGATGCACAACAAAACTTTCCAAAATGTATTGCAGTTTTCATGCAAGGATGTTACACTACTTTTGCCAGGCTCATTCTGAAAACGTAGTCCCTTCGACGTTTCTGGAGGCTGCGAAATACGTCCCGGGAGGTATGTAAATTTGCAGTTTTTATTTTCGCAAATCCACGAGAGGCTGCTGTGTGCACTTTTTGGTATCTTAAATGTCTCTCACGAGTGCCGTTCGTGCCCACACTGAGATCCACCAGAGGCCGCTGTCGAATGACCGCCTGTCCGAGTGGCTGAATGATTGACTGGACAACCGGCCAATCAGCTGACCCACCCTCCTCCTTCCCTAAACCCAACCAGTTTTTCCGATTGACGCAATCACCTGCTTACTTCCCTAAACCCAAAAAGAAAAGCCCTCGTCTGATTATTACCGCATTTTCACCCTCTTATGAACTTGTTCATTTTATTTTTTGGATTCTGTTTTTGTCTTACCTGATTTCTGGAACCGTTCTTCCCCGGACTCGAACCCGTACACGACGAGCTAATTGGACAAACTGGTTGCAGCGGGAAAGCCCTCCACACGGAGGTAAGCTGTCAGCCAGTAAGGTCCAACTGGAACACGCCATACCGCTCTGTAGCGTTCGCTTAAAAAATTAAATGCAGCCATACATACCTCCGGGTACTTAATTCACAGTCTCCAGAAACGTCCACAGGATTACGTTTTCAGAATGAGCCTGGGTTGATTTTTGCAGCTACTCAGAACCAGATAGCAGCACTCTTGCAGACACTTTAGTAGTCACCTAACAAACATTTAAAACAAGACATTCCCTTACAAACCTGATAGCAACACCCTAGCAACCACTCAGAACACCACACCAATGGTATAGACACTCTCTCACAAACAACATCCTAGCAAAACCTCTATAATATCCCATGCTCGTGTAAACCACCAAAGCATCACACTAACACCCTAGCAACTACTCAGAACACCTTAGCAACTGTAAATATGTCCTGGCAAACGCCCAAAGCACCCTAGCAACCACTCAGAACACCTTAGCAACTGTAAATATGTCCTGGCAAACGCCCAAAGCACCCTAGCAACCACTCAGAACACCTTAGCAACTGTAAATATGTCCTGGCAAATGCCCAAAGCACCCTAGCAACCACTCAGAACACCTTAGCAACTATAAATATGTCCTGGCAAATGCCCAAAGCACCCTAGCAACCACTCAGAACACCTTAGCAACTATAAATATGCCCTGGCAAGTGCCTAAAGCACCCTAGCAACCACTCAGAACACCTTAGCAACTGTAAATATGTCCTGGCAAACGCCCAAAGCACCCTAGCAACCACTCAGAACACTTTAGCAATTGTAAATATGTCCTGGCAAACACCCAAAGCACCCTAGCAACCACTCAGAACTGTAAATATGCCCTGGCAAACGCCTAAAGCACCATACCAACCACTCTGAACACCTTATCAACCGTACAGACACCTAAAACACCATAGCAGCCAGATCGCAGCACACTAGCAATTACTCCAGACACCTTTAGTACAGTCTCCTAACAAATATTTGTAACACCACAGCAGCCGCACAGCATCAGGGAAAGTGACCTTTACTTATTGGCCTAAAAAAAGCTCAACTTAGTTGAAGCCTGGGTTTACAGTTTTTCATTTTATTAGCTTTAAAATGAAATGACTCACTAAAGGAAATATGGCCCTCAGCGGGGCCAATTATGGCAGGAATTCTTCTCAAGTAATTAATTCCTCGGGTTCTTATTAATTTCCAGGTTTTCTCCTGAAATGGTGAGCTGGTGTTTTCAGTAGCTCGGTTTTTACATGTCTGAATTAATCTGTCATCACGTTATCAGTGCGCATGCATGTGAAATTCATCATTCATTCATTTTCTTTTTGGCTTAGTGCCTTTAATCAGGGGTCGCCACAGCTGAATGAACCACTAACTTATCCAGCATGCGATAAGGGTTATAGCATTTTCATAGATATGGTTACGGTTTCGTGTTGTTATCTGTTGATTTATTCATTTATTTTTCGTGATGTGAGTTGATTCAAGTATCTATGCAGCTTGTATTATTTTAGCCAACATGTTTAGAAATCCTTTTGTGATTCTTACTGACTGACTGTGAATACACAAGACGTGTCAGTCGTATCATTTTGAATGGGGAAAAGTGTAATAGTCAATGTGGCAGATGAAGCCCCGCCTACTTGTACAGGAGCCAATCATTTTTAGACTGACGATTCTCCAGGGAAGAAGCTCGGACCAGACGTGTGCTTTTACAACAGTTTGGTGGTCAACAAACGCACTGGCATCTCAGTGATCACTTGCTTCACCGACATAAAAAGTATATCTGCATGTAGCTTGAAATCTGTACTTTTAACTCTTGTATGGTGTTCGGGTCTGAGACCTGTTTTCAGTTTTTTTCAATAGAAAAATTAAACAATGAATTATATTTTCAGCCTGATATTTACTGGCTTTGGCTTATTTTTTGTGAAGAACAAAAATCCTAACAAATTTTCAACGACCGCATACTGTACCTCCCCCCACACATTCACAGTACATACAAGGTGTTTGGGTCCATTGGATCCAGGTCTAATAAGGCTGCTTTCACACCTGTGAATGGATTCAGTTGTTCCGAAACTGATATTACAATTGTTACAGTGTTGCTCTTTGCTCTTGGAGCGGTTCGCTTTCACACTGCAAAGTTTCTAATCGGACCAAAAGAGCTAAAACAAGTCACGTGTGAGTAAACTCTCCTCACATTGGTCAGAGTGTCAGGGTTTATTTTGCAGCGTCCCGCTCAGCTGTCAGGAGAGGTGGTGGTTTGGTGGTGATTGACAAGGTGTGCGTGACGTGTCTGAGGAGAGATGCGGTGGGGAGGGGTGAGAAGGGTGCGCGACGATGCCTATTTGAGGACTGGGAGAGAGACGCGAGATTACCGGGAGATCATCACTCGTTTGCGGGCATCAGGAGACTCGCGAAATTTCCCGCCCTACTCATAATTCTCTCTTCATATAGCCGTATGCCTATTACATATCCATAAAACACAGTGATATAACCAAGCTCAGATCGGATCGCTTTCTCACTACAATCGAACCGCTCCAGGGTTCGTTTCAATCGAGCCGAGACCACCTCACTCAAGCGATCTCGGAGCGATTACTTTGGCGCGGAACAGAGCGCGATTGCCCTGTTCACATATGCCAAACGAACCGCGCTAACTGGGCAAACGAGACACGTTCCGAAAAAAAAGTGTAGGTGTGAAAGCACCCTAAATAAGACTTTGCCAGTGTGGTTCCTTATCACAACTGATCAAGATGGCCAAAAGATTATCTGCTACGAGGGCCTTGCAATTGATTGTGGAAGACAGAGGAGCTTCTGATGATGATGTCCATGACCATGGTGGGAACAATACGAAAAAACAAATCTGTGGGTTTTATTTTTTTGATAACATTAATAATAAAAAATAAAATAAATAAAAAACGAGAAGCGCGTTAATTCATCGATATGATCTAACAAATGTGAAGAAGAAAAGTGAACCATGTTTGCTGTTCATATGGCTTGTAATTTGGATTAAGTAAACATCTGTTGAGTAGTTTAACATAAAATAGTTTGATAGTGTTAATTTGGAAAGCCAAAACTCTAGCGGGTCTACCAGACCCATGAACACTGGCTGAGTAACCAAAATACGAACACCACACAAGGGTTAAATGAACCAAGTGCAGGTAAAAACAAAAGTTTGTTGGTTTTGTAATCTGTATGAAATGACCGTGAGGTACAGTCAGCCCTGTCAAATCCACATCACAACTACTCAAACGCCACAAACTTGCAAACAAAGAGTCACTGTCATTTCTGGAGAAGATTCACCATCAGGATCAAGCTGTGGATTACTTTAGAAGAGCAGCACGATCTGATGATGATTATCAAGAGGATAATCATGTGTAGAACAGCCATAAAGTAGGTTGGCGTCGTGATCTCGTTTCTTTCTAGTGTGCGTGCGCATTAACTCGGGCCATTAACATGCCAATTTTGCTTAATTAAAACGTTTAGAAATGAAACTTATGCAATAGATGATGTTTAATTTCTTTAGTGGATCCAAATATGTAATGTTTTTGTAAGCTTGGTTAACAGTTTTGGAAAATTTGATGTTTCCCAATTCACCCACACTGCCCGAGAGGCATTTCAAAGATGACCGAGAGTGAAATGACTTGCATTAAAGGGACTTTAGTTTCAGTTCAATTTATGTCACTCATCCAGCAAAAAACACACTTCACAATACCTTCAACATATCAAAAGCACTCACAGTTGTCAGAATCCATCAGAAATGTGATGAGATGCTAATAAATGTCTGTGTGACACTGACCGCACCGTGTTGACCTTGACACCAGCACACCGCCGTCATGTGCATGCTGAGCATGAAGCTTCACAGTCGGTGTGTGTAGAAGGACGCTGTGAATAAGAGCGGCAGAAGCTAGCCAACCGTTACCGGCTGCTAATGAACTCATTTATTTAGCTGTGAGATGTGACAGAGAAGCGGCATCAATCTCTGTAATGCACGCCTCTGAGTCGGGGTAAAACAGCAATAATGCCACATGAATGCTGCAGACGCACTCAAACTGCAGCTCAGGATCACTGAGAGTTTCAGCTCTTTTCATCTTTATGACTCGCATCTGTTTACTGCAGACGCTTCTGACACATAATGGAGTGAGTCTCTAAAGCCTTTCTTTGTTGCAATCAATATTGCACTTCTTTTTATATGATTCACATCAACATCGCGCGGTGCATTAATATACATAATAAAAAGTCAAGCTGCTGCATTATACACTGACTTCTCATCAATGCCATTAACCAATACTAGCCAAAAGTATCTGGTGATTACTTATTGGAATAAAGATACAAACAAATAATAGTTGGTTTAAATTATTAGTTTAAATGCGCATACTTGGTCTCTCTCTGTTGTACTTTCGGTTTCTCGCGCACATACTCAGTCTCTCTGCGTTCGCTTGACTTTGTCCACTCTTGCAATAAGCTATTACATACCCAGCAATAGCTCCGCAATTCCGCCAATTTTGGCCGCCCGTCCGAACTGATTGCTGCCGTGATGACAAGCTGCTGTTTTATGCAACCCAGTGTGGAAACGTAGTCCCGCGGACGTTTCTAAAGACCGCGGAATACGTCCCGCTGCAGTTTGTTGTGCGCTTTTTCGCATCTCAAACGCCTCTCGCGAGTGCAGTTCGCGCCCACGCTGTTCTCTCGTGAACCCACCAGAGGCTGCTGTCTGACTGACCGGATGATTGACTGCGCAACCGGCCAATCGGCTGACCCGCCCTCCTCCTTCCCTGAACCCAACCAATTTTACAGATTGAACCTCCAACCCGCTCGCTTCCCTAAACCCGAGCAACAGTTTATAAAAGCCGTCCAAAAAAAAGAAAAGCCCTGATTTTTTTTTTCTACCGTGTTTTCGGCTTTCACCGCGTTCTCACCCTGTTACCAAACTCGTTCACTTAATTTTTGGGATTCTGTTTTTGTCTTACCTGATTGCTGGAACCGCTCTTCCACGGACTCAAAACCGATCGACTTGGTCAACTCCTCTCTGCCGACGTACACGGTGAGCTGAGTGGACAAACGATTGCAGCGGGGAAGCCCTCCACAAGGAGGTAAGCGGTTGGCCGGCAGGCAAGTGGGAAAGGGAACAGCGTCACACCGCCCCGCAGCGTTTGCTTGAAAAAAATAAATGCAGCCGTACGTACCTCCCGGGACGTATTCCGCTGTCTCCAGAAACGTCCGTGGGACTACGTTTTCAGAATGAGCTTGGGTTGGTTTTTTTATGTTATGTATGTTATGTGATATTGCGTTTATACAACAGTTCGATGGCACAATCGTGTATATAAAAAAGAAAATAAAACACAGAGAGTCTAAAACCATTTTGTATTAGGAACTACTTTCTTCCTCTGTTCATTCATCTGCATCTGACGTCAGAACAGCAGACGCCGTTACTAATTCACCAACGTCACTTTAGAGCTAGTGTTTGAATGATTCTCTAGCGTAATGTCTAGTGATGACAAAACAGCTGATTTTGCTCACATTTTAAGATTATAAGGCTGAACGTGACATGAAATGCCATCAGTCTACAGAGATATCCCCTTACAGTCTATTACAGTTTACAGTATTTCTCTGCTGTCGTCGGTATTGTGGGTGCAGGTGTCCCAGCGTTTACCCGGAGACTTTAAGAAATGAAAAAAAGGAGGCAGAAACTATTTCGCTCTTCCATTTGGCATTTATGCGTTTCTCCCAAGTGCTGTCGACTACATACATGCCAGTCAACGACAATGAGTAGGCAAAAGGAAAAGAAAAAGACACTTGAACATCCGTCGCAAAACAAAATGTTACACTTCTCAGAGCTTCTCAGAGCCTGCCAGAACTGAACTGAGCTCCCATACATGCGTGCCTACATCTCAAAGGTAAAACAACCACAGAAGAAGAAGAAGAAGTCCGTAAAGGGGACATTTATGCACAATGCATATCAAACATTAAGTGACCGTTACAATATCACAATAATTAACCTTGAAAAAAGCAGCACAATCACTAACTTTCCAGACTGCTGTTGTGTTTGTGTTAAGGAGGGACGAGGCTGAATCCAGCTTGTTATTCGCAGCTTCTTATTGACTCTGTCTGTTACACCTTAAAAACCATCGCTTCCATTTTTCAGCTTCGCGCTCAGGAAAACACAGAACAGTTTTAATCTAAGCGTGAGGGTATATTATGCGGTCCTGGCGGCATCTTGTGAATAGACAACGTTAACCGTCTTTTGTGTACTACACTATGGCAGGCTAATGAAACCGACGAGCTCTGTCAGAAATTGTAAATATTTTAAAATAGGTACTGTTCTTACAAATAAACTGCATAGTTGCAATCTAAACAACTATATTCTCCACTAAAAAAAGTTTCAAATGTACATTTTGGTGTCTAACAACAGTAATATTTGTCAAACTGTATTCTTTCTGCTTGTTGCTGGCTGTATGTGGTTTGAGTAATACACAGAGGTAAAGAGGCCTTTGTGGGATGTTACTAGCAAAATATTGCACGGCTATCAGCCAATCAGATTCAAGATCCAGACAGAACTGTTGTATATATATATAAAACTACTTGTTTTCTTGAAACTCACTTTTAGGTGAAATTACTTTAAGCAAATTGTTTATGCTCTAGCATACAAATTAATACTGAAATGTTAAATTACCATGACTTTCAAAATGAGATGTTTTTTATATATAGTATAATATTTTAACTCGTATTTAGCTCAATGTTTTGATTTATTCTGTCTGAGGTTAATTATTCGTGCTGTTGTCTTATTTGAATTTTCATTCCAAAATGGCCACCGCGTGACACTGGCAGCATCTAGTGGCTGTTTTCCAAATAACAACAGAGTGTGGCCTCTTGGTGATTCTCTTGTTTATTTGCTATAAACAAAAAACTATAGAATACACAAGATGTGTCACTCATATAGTTTTGAATGGGAAAATCGTCAATATGTCAAATGAAGCTCCGCCTTCTAATACAGGAGCCAATCATTGATCACTAAAGACCGACAATACTCTGGGGAGAAGCTCAGACCAGACGTGAGTTTCTGATGATTTTGATTCTGATGACTTAAAGGGACTTTGCTCTGTATTTGAGTAATTTAAACACATACGTTTTTGAGTATAATTAACATTTTGAGTAAAATTGAATAACTATATATATATATATATATATATATATA